TGTATTTTTTATACATTCATAAACTTATGTTAGCACAATTTGTGTTTTCTAAAGTGTTTTAAATTACTTTCAGATAGGTTATATTATTCACTCTCATCCTATACATTTTGTGCAGGATAGGTAGACTAAAAATTCACTGAATTTCACAGGCTCAGGTTCTATAAACCATTTTCACTCAATTTGAAATGAACATTTCTGAGAACTTGGCAACTACCACTGGGGGACTTCCAAAGGCCTAGCATTTCCCTCTACGTAATTACCACCATGGATTAATTAAATGATATAACTAAATTACTAATGAGCACAAATATTTTTAAACAGAAAAAGAACGAAATTTTAATATTTTTTTTACTTCACAATTTTTTCATTTTTACTTTATTATTTCAACATTAGCTCTCATTATTCCAGTGAGAAAAAACCTATGTTCTATTTTACAACAGAATAGTATACATAGTGTTCTTTTCATATTTTTTTTAGGCCACTTTAGGCCAATTGAACCCAAGACTTTGGGATTAGCTGCTGTATGCAACACACCAGACCAAGGCAGTGAGTATAAAAGACTATTTTTTTTTTTAGTTACAGCATTGTATTTCTTCTTGCTCACTAAAATAACATTACCAAATGTGGTGATTTTCATTTTTGTTTACTGTGGCCTGTCTAGATCAGATTCTGTGTTACCAGCATAAGTTTGATCTGCAAATGCTGAAAACAAAGAATAGGAGCCTTATTGACTTTATTTTGTTTGAAGCTAATTTTATATATATTTACTTTATACTGTATATTTATTCTGTGTTACCATAGCTTTTAAGCAGTACTACAAGTGCTTATAATTATAAAATATTGTACCAGAAATTGTTATAAATTTGTTTCAAGAAAATTTAGATTTGTTATTATTTTTATGGTATTTTTTCTGCATCTATTGTTACATTATAAGCTCACTAAAGCAAATGGGATATTTTAGAAATGTTTATTGATACATATTATAAAATCTCATCACTATTGATTTTCATTTAAGTTCAGCTGACCCTTTTTGAATATTATAAATATAAATCAATTATTCAGACAATTAGACTGCAGAGATTTTGTGCACTAACAGAAATCATGCAGCCAATCACCAGTATGGAAATATCAGGATGTTTATATTTTGAGCAGGATTACCATATGACTTTTTGAATCAGTTCTGAATCTGTACTAGATAGATAGAGCTAATATATCAGATTAAAAATTATGCATAGCAACACTTAATTATCACATGATTCAACACCTAACCAACGCTATCAAATTGTTTAGATAGTTATGGTGTTTAGTGATAATGGTCATGGGCAGAATACAGGCAATGGCATGTTTTTATTATTTTTCTCTTAACAAATATAAAAACTCCCTAATGCTCTAAGGTTTTTAATGAAACTTAATTTGTTAAGTACCAGTAATGTGCAAAATGGTAAAATAATTGTTTCTAGTAATTAGAAAATGTGTGTGCAGTGATGCATTGCAAGTAAATGTGAATAAACATTGATTAAATTTTAATGAATAACTTGTAGCTAATGCACATAGTAGTAATTCACCTCCTTAATCCTCTTATTACCAAGTTCACTCGTTGTTTGATGAGGATGAAATTACTGTCCAATGGAAATTAAAATGGAGTGGAAATTATTAAGATTCTGAGCTTGTCGTCTCAGGCTCAGGGTCCTGGGTTAAAATCGTGCTGGATTTTAACACTTATGCTATTAATTAATTGCATGGCAATTCCCTGAGTCATCAACGGTTTTCTATATAAATTGTTGAAAATAGACAAATTTATTGTTACGGCTCATCCAAGCTTCAAACCTCCCAGTAGATTTGATTAAGATTAAGTGGGAGTACATTTTTCAAGGCTCAAACTCTGAAATTTCTTGTAAACTGAAGAAATAAGACTTGCTGAGTACATCGTTTATATGAACAAATTATTTTATATTTAAGGTTTTTATCCAGTGTTTTCCATTTAGTTTAGTATATATACTGTCTCTTATACACATCTAGATGTGTATAAGAGACAGCATAGTGTTCTTTTTACTTTAAAGCTAGTTCAAAGCTTAGAAGTAATTATGCAAATTTTCCAGGATTGATAATCACCAATTTTGTTGTTTCTAAACGGTTATTTTGCACAAAAAATTATTAAAATTGTGAACAATTATGAAAACACACATCACAGGAAATGTTATTCTGGATATGATGTGCTTACACTTTATTCCAACTTATTCTTAATTATTATTGGCTTGGCAAGCAATTTCCAGTGTCATATTTTCTATGTTGTGTTGGTAATTTCTAGAGATTTTTTTTTTCATATCAACTGTGTTGTACTTTAGTCTGCATCACTAATTTGTTTGTGAAAGGGTTCATTGCACAAAAAGATACAGTAACATGAAACTAAGGAGCTCCTTGATAGTCCTTTTGCACCTTGTATCTCCTGCAAAGGATGCAGTATATATTTCTATATTATTATTTCTATATCATTATTATCTCCACCAGGAGGTATATCTTTTCGTTTCGTGTGTTTGTGTGTTTGTAACGCTTTGCTATTTCAGTTTTTTTTCTTGTTTTCAAATATCTCAAAAACGGCTGCATATATGTAAATTCCAGTTACAGGGATTGTTAGGTGTGACCCAAGGATGAGGTGATTAAATTTTGGTGACTGTCCGGATTAGGGTGTGGTTGTGAGGACCATTTAAAGGATTTTGTCCTAGACAAGATATTTCAATAACTAATCAACTGACATTAATGAAACTTTCCTGGAAGTTTAAAGAAGTTACAAGGAATAAATTATCAAGCGCTGGTCACGATCGAAATTCAGGAGTGAGCTTGAGGGTCATTTAAATTTTTGAGGTCCTGCTTGTTTTCTTGTGTACAAAATATTTCAAAAACAGCTGCACTGGTTTAAATGCCAGTTACAGTGATTTTTTGGTATAACACAAGGATGAGGTGATTAAATTTTGGTGGCCAACCGGCGTAGGGTGTGCATATGAGGACACTCAAAAGAAAAACGTCCCAGGCAAGATATTCCAAAAAATAATCAAATGATATGTTTGAAAACTTTGTGAAAGGTTTAATCAAGTTAAAAGGAAGAAATTGTGAAGTGCTGTTGATGATACAAATACTGGGGGTACATGTGAGAGCCATTAGGACCCACACCTGAATATCTCTTGATTGGATCAATGGTTGAAAATGACGCTTTCCATAATAGTGGAAAGGTCCATTTGAGCCTAGGGAATGTACCAAAAGTGCAACGACTATCAGTCAGCATTAAAGTGTCCCTAACATTTTTACCTGAATTTATAAATTATATATTTTGAGCTCTCTTCAGAAAAGTCCTGGATCCATTTTGTTTGTTGCCTTATTTCTATATACATCATTACAAATAGTGTAATATTATACCAAAATGGCTTCATAGGAACAACGGCCCTCGCAGCTGTCTGGTTAACAATTCACAAATCACAAAGTTTAAGTTATTATTAGAGATGCATTGCTGAGTTGAGTTGAAAAACTGTGCTTAGAGGAATTTCGCCCTCTATATTTTCCATTTTCTTTGGCAATCTTTCAGTAGTAGCTGTACATCCATTCTGAAACATTTAATTATTATTTTTTAATTTTCCTTTAAATAGAGATATTTAAACACCACTCTAATTTGAGGGGATTCCAATTAGAGATCAAAGCTGCTAAAGACCACTAAAACCCCATTCACAAAAGTGGTCTTTAAATGGAAGGAAACTTGTACTTATTAATATTTGTTAAATATATGAGTAAGATATTTCAATTCCTTAAATTTTAGTGGAGTTTATCTCATATGGTTAGTTAGGATGTTAGAATAATTTTTTTAGTTACATGTATTAAATTTCTATTAAACTTCTGAAGTAGGCTTAGAACATCTTGCATGTAAATTTCTCAAGTTGGTAATGGAATATTTTTATCCTAAATTTATTTAAAAATATTTTTAATAAGCACTGCAGTGCGTAATAAAAATGTTAGAAATTGTGTTTGGTGCACAATTATTCATGATCAGCACTTAATCTGGAGGACACTAAATAAATCATTTACAGGAGTTGTGAGAGATATAATTTAAATGTACCTGCTTTACTCTAATTGGATAATTGCCTCATTTAAATATATACATATTAATTAGGATTTCTGGCAACTTGTCAATTTTTGGAGTGACATTCATACTGATTTGAATGTGTTGTACTAACAAAAAAGGGAGTATAAACTCTATTAACATATTGATAATAAGAATGTAACAAACAGAACATAATAAAAGAATGTAGCCAATTAAGCCAAAATATTAATAAAAAAGGAGATGTTTCTTGTCTCCAATATCTTTTACTTACTTTTTAAGATGCAGAACTCAGAAACCCTGTAATTGGAATGTAAACTTTTATATGTAATGGATATCTATTAGTATTTAAATATGATGGAGTATAAAAATGGGAAAAAAATCTATAAGCATAACATTTTTGAATGAATTTTCAAAAATTCAGAACTTAAAACAAAGATATAGCCTTATACCTGTTTATAAATACTCAAAAATATCAGGACTAGAAAACACAGTTGGCCCTCCAATTTGAGACCCTCGTTGGGACCTGAAAATTGGGCATGTCTAAAGCTAGGTCTCCAATTACAGGATTAATTTTGTGTTAAGAATGAAGATTATTAGTTGGTACCTTGAAAAGTTGTCTTGTGTTAGAGTGGTCTCGAATTGGATAGTGAACACTGTAGCCTGAAATGCGCCAGAACAGCCTAGACTAAGAAGCAACATTGCTGCACTGTCTTCCAGCAGTTTATAGTGCAAAACTAGGGAGCGCAAAACTGAGAAATGTGGAGCAGAAAATGATAATTATGATATTATTATAAGAAATATTATATTGTTTGGGCAATAATACAATAAATGAATGAATCAGGTATAAGGGGTTAACAAAATTATTTATACAAAATTTCCAGAAATTTTGAAAAATGAACCATAATGATCTAGTTGTTATTTTATTATTTACAATATATCAGTACAGATATGGTGGTATGCAAAATACCTATTCATCAAACATAAAATTATTAGTGGGCTATTAAAAGGGTTTGTTATAATTAGACATTAAATGATAATGTATGGTAGTATAGAAAGTATTCCTTAAAGCCAAAAAAAAAAAAATTGTTGCTTCGCACTTAAATGGAAAACGTTGAGATGGCTTGATCAGTAACATTTTTATTTTCTCTGAAATGTGATAACAACCTTGACTGCAGGAATCTGAGTGTTTCGGTCGATTGGCGAAAACTAATCAGCAAAATAGATGGGGCCTAATTCCATATGACAGTAACAGGGGTGGCACCAACCCGGAAGGCCAGGGCCCCCATTGGGGAGAAAAACCAGTATTCGGCGGGGAGAATAAAAATTATACTTATTTTTTACATATTAGTAGACTCTAAAAGTGATTAAATAAGCACTTGAAATCTTATATTCATGTAAAATTAACAAAACAATCTATAGATGAATATTATTGTCTTTATTATTGAATATTAATATATCCCTTAATAACTTATTCTCATTGAAATGATGATCAAGTCAGGCCAAGAAGACTTAAAGCAAGTGCACCATTTATGTTGTACAATAGTAGTAAAACCTTGTTTGGCCTAAAGCAGAAATGAAATTACAAACATCTACAGTAGCTACATATCTGAAGTTCTGAATTTCAATTATTTCTGTGCATTTCATCAAATTAAAAAAGTTAATTCATCTTGGCGTCTCCATTTGTGAAAATACTACACTGTTATGAGCCGACTTAAGCTTGCTAAATTATTTTAATTTAGAATAATTTTAACTGAGCAGTGAAAATGGTCCTAGGCTGGCTGATCATCACTGTGCGTGAAGGTAATCTACTTTTTGTGGAACACAATGTATGGTACTACAAGTAGATTTGAGCCTAAATATTTATTTGATCTAACATTGGCTGTATTTGACTGGTTGGTTTCGTTGACAACAATTTTTTGTTGAGTATCATTTTCATGCGGCTGGTTAGTAAAATAGTTGACAACAGAAATTAACATAAGTTATCCAAAACAAACATGGCCGATTGTTCATTTTATCAACAACATTTGCATTTGTATAATTAGATTAATTTCAAAAGCTATTACTTATAATATTTACCCACATAAAGTAAAAAATTAATTGAAAGCAAATTTTTATGAAAAACCCATACTTCCCCAAGCCAAAGCAACCTTGATTGATCTAGCGTTTATCACGGTAACTACACAGCCATTTTGTTTTGTTGAGTATTTATCAGTTTTCTATTCATCTGGTCATCTTCTTTAAGTCAGACTTTACCACTACACTGGCAGGTATGGTTTAATGAACGACCAGTCGAATACGGGCAGCGTAAGCTTGAACAGTTTATGGAGAAATAAAACATAAAAGCTAACACAATTTGTTGGAATTTCGCTGACTGTATTTCCCCTTATTTTCAGCTAACATTTGTATTGAAACCTACAGGGTACTCAATGATTTTAATACTACTAGTTATAAACAAACTAGATAATTTGAATTTTTCTGCCCTATATCACGAAAAAGTAAGTAGCCCAGACACTAATTCTAATATTTCTAATTTGATATCTCAAAGCTACATTATCAGACCACATAGAATTCATTGTAAATAGAAATTAATTAATAATTTAATCAAATTTAATTATTCAATTTAACCATTTCTGTGATGTTTAAACAAATTTAATTATTTAATTTAACTTTATATCTGTGGTGTTAAAAAAAATTTCCATAATAATAGATATAGAAAAAGGAATGTGTGCAATATTATCAGTAATAAATTAAATATAAGAAAATAAAGAAATAACATTTTGAATAATGTAAATTTCAGATTAAACAGATTTATTAGATCCACTTTTTCTGGCTTCTTCAATCTCAGCATATTCTGAGTCCTTGTCAGGATCTGGCGGGACTTGAATCCCAACATTTCGACCCCAGTATGGTCCTTCTGAAGTTGGCGGTTGTGTTCGCACGCTGTCTTTTGGCTCAAAGTAAACCTCCGGCTGAGCAATGTAATGATTTTGCATGTATAGTATGTGACGTTGCCGTAAGTAACAGAACAAAATGAAGATTAACAAAGCACTTAGGAAAAGAGTAGCACCGGCGATTGTAAGAAGTTTTATCTCCGAATCATCTGTTACACCACGATTCAAGTTGGATGTGTTGCTAATAATTGGCTTATCTGCTTTTGTAGGTTTGTGTTGCTCATTGTTGTCAACAACAATTAACGTGTAGTTATTTTCACCGGTTCCTACTTTGTTTGTCACCTTGCATGTGATGATGGTACCATTCAGAGAAAGATTGTCAACTGTGGTGCGGTACACCAGTCCATTTGTTTCCAATTTAAACTTGGCTATATACGGTGTAGAATCCCATATATATTGATATGGTATCGGATTTGAATCTGCTGTACATGCAAGCAACGCCTCTATTCCAAGTTGCACATGCGTTTTTCCTGAATAAGATATTTTCACTCGTGGTACGTAATTCACATTTAATGGTGGGAATTTACACTGCTTTTCTTCACCTGGAACGTTATTGCTAGTCTGCGTACAAACAAAGCTATCATCATTATTATTTGCTGTCACACAGAACTTATATTTTAGGACTCTTTCATTCCCAATGATATTGTACTTCAATCCTTGTATAGGCCTGTTGCCTTTTGATATGTTGAGATGGACTGTATTGGATAGAAATTCTGTATGGCATGAAATTGTAATAACATCACCTTCTTGGTATGACTTATCGGGAATGATGCACTCTGGGTAGCGTTCCCTTGGTGTTTTTTTTATTGACAAGCTGGCCGTAGTAGTTACACATTCTATATTCTTATTTTTGTATTCATATTTGCATATATATTGATACTGTCCATCCTCACGATTCACTGGATCTATTTTTAACTTTTCACTTTTAACTACCTTGTGTCGTAAAATTGGCATTTGGTCTACATTTCCTGTTTGTAGATTTTTACGAGACCAAGAAATATGTTTCATATTTACCAGCTCTTCATCGGTCGTGAGTACACACACCAACTGTGTCGCTTGTCCCTCAATTATTCCTCCGGAAGTTAAGATTTCACAATTAGGGTTACCATGAATAAAGTCAAATAGATTTACCATTAGTTGTGAAGTTATTAACAAGAGTGACCACAAGGAAAAACATTGGTTTTTCATAATGCTGGATTCGTGTTCAGAGTTTATCTTGATTTTGAACTTGTATAGGTGGAAAAAATGAAGGTAAACATACCTTACAAATGATTAATCTTTTCCAGTATATTTTTTTCCATGGAATACATATTCTGTAAGCAAATGATGTAATAGTTAAAAGCATTTACTAAAAGTTTTTAAGACTCCAATGTATTGATATATTAATGATAACAATTGGCTCAGTAGACCTTTGATCACAAGTATTTTATGACCACAGCATGTCAGAATCTTCTAAAATTGCTTAATAATCAAGGCACAGATGAATAACAATTACGATTACATTGTTTTCTTCATTTAACTGTAATCAAAATTTCCTCTTCAATTTGTTTTAAGTTAGCATATGAAAAATCCAATAACAGTCTGAGATTCCTCTAGTTTTCCTGCAATTCTTAATTCCGCAATTTCTTTATGTAATCTTTTATCTTGGTATCAAAGAAAATAAATGGTGACCACATTAATATTGACAGAAAAACTGTTCGGTGGCAGTATTTGACCATCAATTACTTTGTGAAAATCACCGGATAAAATAATACATATCGTGGTCATTCCAATTCCAAGTTAACAAATGATCAAAACTCAGTAAAGAAACTCCAAAGGTAGTGGCTTCAAATTTCACACAAATGTGAAATTGAAGAGAATTACTTCTTGTTATATGAACAAGCAGTCGTAAATATTCTTCAGTAGAGTTATTAAAAAACTCTTGGTGCAGACAGCGTTGCTTGCCATGTAGCGAGTATGTTGTCATCTGCAATCAAAATGAAGGAGGCAAACACGTCGTTAGTTTTGTCCACTCTTGTTGAACAGTAACCCCCAAAGGGCTGCAAATGAATTTACATAGTCACTGCCATATTAATTCCCATCATGTTAGTCGAAAGTTAATGAAGCTGTCAAAATTACCTTATGCAATGATCCTCATTGCGTGGGGCTGTCTTGCGTTGCGTGCTGCCTGATCCAGAACTGTAGGTAATATCGCCAGTATCTAAGTTCAAATCCGTGACAGAATTTGAACACATCGAAGACAATGCACAATATCATCTTCATGGGCTGTGCTGTGGGCCTGTTATTATTTTCATCACTGCTACACTATTATGCGACGCAACAAAAAAAAAATTGAATGATCAAATCTAATCATAGCTTAATGAGCATTTTCATTTGTTAGCTGATAATAAAGTATTCACTTTTCACTGTGAAATGATTTTTTTTTCTATCCATATATTAAATTTAAAAGCAATAATATTGTAGGAGCGTTATAATAACAAAATCTTATTTATTCTTCAATTCAATAATGGAACTTTGTTGTGATTAATACCAACGCTTCTCATTACAGTGACTTTTAAAAAAAATTCCAAATCTAATTAATCAATTGTATGTCTCGATGTTTATGCTGATATTGAGTGTTGTAAAAATAATCAGAATGCTTTTTTGTTTTGACTGTGGAAATCCAAATGGAGTGGGATTATTTTTATTGTTATTTTAGTGAAACTAAGAGTACATTTTATGCGTTGCTACGGTAATCTGTAATAAGTTATTGATATCATGCTGAAATGCATGGTGCATTCAAATAGAAATTGATGAGGAACAACCCACAAATGTAGTGTATCTTAAAGTAAAAAAATATGTATTTTTTACTACTGAAATAATAATAATAGTAATAGATCTTTATGAGCTCGACAATATTGTAGGTAAGAAGACAATAAAAAAAAAAGGCACAATAAAAAGCAAGGAAAAAAAAATTAAACACCAAGCTAGCACCCAAACTGAAGTATGGGGTTATACCATCCCCACCAACTGGAAATCTGTGTTTAGATACTCTGGTTAGCGTCAGTTAAGTCTTTTCTGAAATAGTTGCATTAAAACATAAAAAATATCCCAAAACAAATAATAACTACTACTTTAATAAACATTATTTTAGTACATAATATACAGTGCATATATCCACACAATTCATATTATATCTCATCATATTGGCCGCTGTAGTGTAGCCTTTCAACTTTGTTACATAAAATATTATGGGATGTTCCTCATGAGCCGGTAGACTAGACGAGACTAGCGAAGAATCTAGAAGAGAGGTGGCGAGACCCAAGTTGTGCTGTTGGCACATTAGCACGAATAAACCCGTATAGTCAGCTTGAATATTGGTGTTTTGTATATTATTGTTTCACTGATCAAAACTTGCAGTGTTCTGATCGAACCTTGTAGTGTTTCAATAGTAGCTTCGTAATTTTACCTCATATTTTCTGGCAATCCAATCTTTTTAATGGCAAAGCCCTTGTTCATGATTTCATTATCTGTAATACAACTCCTTGTACATGATATATCAATAACATGAGGACCTGTACACATTAAGGTTTATGACACAGAACACTTATTGACAACATGTGAAATACTATCTTCAAGTTGTCGCCTTAAACTATCATAAAAAAATTAAGAAATTGAAAAAAAAATAGAAAAGCTGTTATTCATTTTTTAGTTTTAAAAATATGTGTATTTTATATCATATTTTTTAAAGCATTTACCAATATAACATAACCAACAACTTAAATAGCTTATAAAGCTTCACGATAAAAACCATAGAATTTCTTAAAATAAAAAAAAATTATTTTTAAAAGTTTTTTTTTTTCTTTTTTTACTTTTTCAAATATTGTTTGTCTTTCTTAAATCTTATATAGCCAGTTAATTGTAAATTCATTTAATTGGTATCTAAATGTTAATTTATTTGGTACTAATTAATAAACTTATTCAGTTTAATTTGTGTATCAATACTATGACAAAACTGAAAGAAACAGGTGTGGATGTTTAACCCGCTACTTGTGCAAGGGCGGATGGCCACACTGTAATTGCTAAAGTAACTATTCTTTGTTCATTTCCATTTCAACTGTATATTATAAGAAACATGCGAATTGTGGAGAATAGCAAAAAAACAAAAAAACTGATATGGAAGTTGGCTATTAAACTTGATATATCATTACTTCATTAGGCCTAAAAAAATATATTCTCTGTTTGCCCTTCTTTTTTTTAAATGATAAAAAGGGGCAGGTGGAAAAAGTTGTTTTTGTATTTATTTATCTTTTTATTTTAAGATTACTCATCAGATGAAATAAAAATAACCCACAGTTGATATTTGGTAATGAATGTAGGCCTAGAATGGCAATATCTTACATCAGACAACAACTCTAGACAACTTTGAAGGGCATTTGGCAAAAAAATAAAGATCAATTCACTCACATTTCTTTTAATTTGTAAAGAAAAAAGCTTAAAAAAATGTTTTTTTTGTTTTGCCACCCCTTTTTTTCAGTGAGTTAGCAACGGGTGGGGAGGGCAAACAAACAATTTTTTTAGGCTTTATCATCATCATAAACCTCATCATCATCATTAACTTCATCATTATCATCATCATCATCACCACCCCCCAGTGGTGGCACCAGTGATGGGGTGGGGGGAGTGCAGGTGCAGCAGGGGCTTAATCCCCCCCACCAGACAGGTCAAGCTCCCTTCCCATCGGACAGAGTTCATCGGGCAGTCGGACTGAAAAATATATATAAAAATAAGCCCACGTCAAGCCAACACATGTCTATCACAATCAGAGAGTGTCATTTCTGTCCATCCAGAGGTTCCTATTTTTAAAAAAAATCTCATTTGGGAGGGGGAACTTCCTCTCAAACTCTTCTCCCAGCTCAGGCCTATGAGCCCAAGTCGCTTCTGTCGGACGGCTTAGCACCCCCAGAAAATATATCCTAGAGCCACCACTGCCACCGCCAGTGGCGGCGCTACGGGGCACCCGCCCTGCTTTTAGGGGAGAAAACCAAAATTCATTGGGGAGAAAACAAATTATATGTATTTTCTACATAATGTAGACTCTAAAATTGATTAAATAAGCCTTTGAAACCCCTAAATTATCATGCTTTTGGGGGGATTCGCACCCTAGACCACTTTTGAAATATTTTGAGGGATGTCTGACCATGTCCACTTTATTCTCGTCAGGGAAATCCTAGCGCCGCCACTGACCACTACCACCATCATTATCACCATCATATTCTTCAACTTCATTGTCATCATCCTCATCATCAACTTCATCATCATTATCTTCATCATTATCATCATCAAAAATTTCATCATTATGCGAAGTTTCTTTTGCGAGGCTTAGGAAGGCCTGCTGTGACAGGAATTGAACCCAGAACCCTAGGATTAGAAGACATGCATCTACCGCAAGCTATTCAACTCCACTCCAAAATATCACCATCATCATCTCCTTCGTAGCAAAAAATTTATGGATATTTGCATATGATTAATTATTACAGTTAAATCTTTCTGATATCTCAAATATATCTTAATTTTGGTCAATCTTTATGTTGTATTTTTATAGTGCCTTCCGCAGTAAAAACTGTCTCAAGAAACTAAAAGTTAATTTATGAACAGGCGCGCATGTGAAGGGGAGGAGGAAGGTGTCATAAACCTTAATGTGTATTTTTCTAAATACCATAATTCTGTATACAGTATACAGTTAAGGTCATAAAACAGAAAATATAAAATATGAAATTAGATTAACAAAATTATTATGTTATACGATTTGGTTTCATATAGATTTTTTGCAATACTATGCAATATTTTGACATAATGAAATATAAACATGTTAGAATATGAGACATATTGCTACTTAATTGATATAATATTACAATTTTTTATATGAAAAAAATGCATATTGAAAGTATGTTTTTTTTCTAAGCTGTCATTTGAATTCAGTTTAACAAGGTCTTAGACTGAAACAAATCTGGCATATTTTACATTAAAAAATATTATCTTTTGACTTTGATGGTTATGCAGGTTATTAATTGCCACAATGTATCAGGGATCTGTTGATGTTCTAGAAAAAGAAGGTACTCCTACACCCATTATGCCATTAAAGATCCTTAATTTACCTCATTCTAAAGGGCCAGTGGTGTAACCAGGGAGATTTTTCATGGTGCCTCAGTGCCCTGTTTTTGTTCTAAACGTGAAAATAATAGATTATTGTGAATAAATGGCAAAATAAGACATTAACAATTTATGGACATAAGTCATTGATATGCACCATCCCTATTTTTGCACTTGGCGTAAACTTTAGTAGATATAACATTTTTATTCAGCACCCCATATGATCCCCAATCCCAATTCTGCATAAGCCACTGAAATGTGTACTGTCTATCTTAAGCAATTAAACTGAAAAAATTGAATTATGTATTTGAATAGGGTAACTTGAATTTTAACAATTACAAAATATTAATTTTATTGTAAATTGAAAAGTTTGTACATACAGATACAACCATTAATTTTTCTTTGTATATTAAATTTAAGTTACCCTATTCAAATACATAATTCAATTTTTTAGTTTAATTGCTTAAGATAGACAGTACACATTTCAGTGGCTTATGCAGAATTGGGATTAGGGATCATATGGGGTGCTGAATAGAAATGTTATATCTACAAAAAATTACGCCAAGTGCAAAAATAGGGACGGTGCATATCAATGACTTATGTCCATAAATTGTTAACGTCTTATTTTGCCATTTATTTATTTCCAATAATCTACTATTGTTTTTTCACATTTAGAACAAAAACAGAGTACTGAGGCACCATGAAAAATTAAATTGTTCTTTTATGCCGAATAAATATTATTATTATTATTATTAAATCCTAAATAAAATTGCATATAAATAGGTAGCTGATTTTTGCATTTCACATGTGTTCTTTCGTCTCATCATCATTTTATGTTCGATGTATATTTTCAATTATTTCTTGATTATGTTTGTTCTGTTTTAAAATATGCTTGCCTAGATTGATGGCACATTATAACTATTATTTTTTTTATAACAGCAGAAATTTAAGAATGGTAATTGCACAATCCATAAGCCAGCAAAAACATAATTATTTAAATTTAATATGAGCAATTAAATGTTATAATTGAATGTTTGGTAATTTTTATATTTTAGCAAGTTAACTAGAAACATTTGAGTAATGGTTAGGTCCCAGACATTCAACATCAATTCTACATTTTGCCTCAATTTTGCCCTAAAGCCTCCTCTATCTTTTGCCCAGCCTTCATTCCCTTCCTGAAAAAGAAATTTGAGATGAACCTTTAAGTAGAACAGATGTTTTTGCATTACTTTATGCATTCTCTTGTTCGTAGATAAATGACAGTTAAATAACACTAATTCAGTATACAAATGGATAACCTGAGGATACTTTGGTATGACATGAATTAAAATTAGATAAAAAGACAGTTAAAGTCTATTATAGAGAAAGCAATATTTCATCGTAATATTCAACTTCTTAAAGAAAATGGAATGGTATTGAATTTGAAAGGTAGTTTCGTTGACAAAGTAAGCCAGAGGAAAATGTATCAATATCGGTCAATTGTGTTTTCAAATAATTTTTTAGCTTATTTCAATTTCTGTGCAACTGCACTACATTTCTTTGTGTAATAATGGCAAGACCTGTTACCACAAAGGAAAAAATGGAATATAGAGATATTAATAATGCTGATTATGATAGAGATCATAATCATATTGGTGATAATAATTATAATAATGATAGTGACATTTATGATAATAACAATGATAATAATAATAATACCATATTTATATAAATATATTTTTATAATGATAATGATCATTTTAAATATAATCATTAATTCATTAAACATCAATAATTATAATTACATTTTAACTATAATGATAAAACAGGTATATTCACCTTTTTTCACATTAAATCCACTTCATCAAATGTGTTGGTGTTTCTACCAATCAGCTAAATTAACAATAACAGTTGAAGAAACCGCTTGCTTTGAAATAGCTTCGCCGATAAAACTTTATTGCTTCATAATACTGTATTTATTTCCACTACAACATTGTTTTCTTTGGTTGGCAGAGCCAATCACACTCTTCAGACGGATATGTAAAACTGATGTTATTACAATGAAAATTTGCATATGATTAATTAATTGAGAAACAGGTTAGTGGTGGCCCCTTTTAATCACCGCTAATCTGCTTCTCAATTAATGATATGCAAGTTTTTCTTGTTTGTAATAACGTCTAATAATAATTCAAGTATCCAGTATCAATATTGATTGATTGATTGATTGATTTTATTCAGTACCATTACATACAAAAAATACAAAGCAAACAAAAACAGGGAACACAAGGAGAAGATACTAAGGATGACCCAAGAAAGGTTAAAAAGAAACCTTATTTCCATTGGGGTCCTTACATTATCTATTTTTATACCTCCATGCATCAAGTCAAAAAACACAGCAGGATAAAAAAAACAGCAAACCCGAACAAAGAGGGGTAAAATGAACAATAAAAACATTGCAAAGAAGTGTAAAAATTCAGTTTGAAAGAATAAAATCATAAAAAATAGTTCGACAAAAGAATTAAACAAGTTAAACATTTTTAAGATTTTATAAATTCAAAAGAGTAACAAGTTTAAAATTTATTAGGATTGAAATGATAGAATATCGTATTATAGTTAAAATCTAAGTTGTTTCAAGTGCCAAAAAAAAAAAAGTTGGAAATGGTTGTGGTGAAGTGATTGGAATAAATAACAATAAATATTTTATTACTTTATTATTTTTATTGCTATTATTTCATAGATAGAATTCTATACTATCTGAAAGTTGAAAGGAACTGAAAAAAATGTATCCATTCACTATAAAAAGGTAACATATTTTTTATTTTAATTAAATTAGAGTAAGAAATTAGATTTTAGTTTTACAAATTCAGAACCATTAATGTTATATGTTGATTAGGATGAAATTGTACATGTATTCATTTCATTTCATTTAATCATTCAGACAAGTGCCGTTGGGCCCCAAAAGCAACAAGGTCAACATAACAAAAGTCTTGACCCCCAGAAAACTAAACTTAACTACAAGATTAGCTATTATATAAAAATATAAGTTTAAAAATGTAAAAAGTAAAAGGTCAAGATAATTGAAATTATAAAATATACACTTCATTTGCACACAATTCTTATTGTTCTGTTGGTAATTTTGTTTTATGAATTTCAACCTTTGCAGATGTAATAGTATATTTTGTGATATTATTCTATTTATGGTTCATGGTACACACAATTATAATAATTGTGCAAATTATACGTTGTAGTGTCATAAAACAGGGATTTATGGTGGTCGCAGTTGAACATGATCAACCATGGATGTCCAAATTACTGCAGAGGTGTAAACTACAAAGATTACTTCTTCGCTGAACCTTTGTACACTCAGCTTCGCAAATTATTTCTGACAAACTTCATCATTATGTTCACACAGTGAGGCCAGTGTTATGGAATACAGTGAGTGTCAGACAGGCATACATGTGTCTGTCTTGTATCTGTGTATTTATGTTTAACACATTCTTAATTCCACAATTCTACAACAAAAAGAAGCATAAAATAAAAGCAAGATACGCCATTGTCATTCAGTATTTCAGTATTTAATTAGGTATTGTCAAAATGAAACATCACCAAATATATACATATATTTGATTACTTAGAAACAGTAAGCAATAGCTTGATCTGTTTAAAATTTTAAAATTATTAAAATCTACAACAAAAATTAGGGAAAAATAATCACGGCATATACCAAAAACCTCTAAACAAGTGATACACTAATATTATTTTATACAGTACAAAATGAAAATGTAAATTTCTAAACATCTTTAAGTTTGAACCTTGAGAAAGTAGCCTATACATCCCCATACACTACAACGGTAATTTCAATTGGTTATTATAAACCAATATAAGCAATCAATTAGTGGAGTTGCATATCATACACTAGTGGAAATTATTATACAAAGTTTAGATTAATTCATTGACATAATATTATACTGTAATATTTGTGAAATAAAATGATAGTTTGTAGATTATGGAGTTTTTTTATAATGCATTCCCATTTCCATCATCATTTTGGGTAAATTTCAATACATGTAATTTTGATTTTGAAGTTGTGTGCTATCAACCCATCCAAAGCCAATCAACTAAGTCGTCTCTCTCATAGACAGCTAGTCTTTCTTGTCTGTAAGTCAATCATTCAATCTGTCTCTTCTCTCTGCAGACATTTCTTCCCTTCTATGTACGAATTCTCCATTCATTGTAATTATTTTGTTGAATCATATGATATGTCTTAAAGGTGTATTTCATGTGATATGCTTAAATAAAATCTTTTAAAAAAGATTTTTAATTTTAATTTAATAATTTATATATTTTGTAAAATGTTCATTTGAAAATCAAAATTATAAAAAAAATGTCAATATAATGTAGTTAAAGCAGACTATGTACAAATAATATCATTCATTTATTCTTGGCATACCCCCTTAAAATGTTTAGTAATCATTTTAATGGATTTTTTGTATTAAGAAGTCTACATGTCATTTGAATTTTTTCAAGAATTTTTTTTTGTAGGTTTTTCCTATTTTATGACAGATGTATTAAGCAAATATTTTTTAAGGTAACAAATTTTTAAAGGATTGTGGTATTTGAATTCAATTAAATCAAATTTAATGATATTAATTATTGGTAGGAAACTCATTTATTATAATGTTCATAATTTGTATCATTTTCTTCTGTCAGAAATCAGTGATTATTTTAAAGATGAGAATGTGTTAAAAATTTTATCATGATTAAGCCAACTATAATCATCGTCACTGTTTGTGATTACTGTTTATGACCATTGTTATTATATTTGTTATCATTTTTGCCATCTTTATAGTCATTCATTTCATTCATTCAATCATTTTTTATTTTAAACACAACAGCAATGTAAAAATACAATCAAAATAATCAAGAAATATAAAAATATACAATTCATGATAAGGTTTATGCAATTTTAAAAGGACCATACCACCTTAGCCCCACCATGGCACTCACTCCCTTCAGATTTAAGTATAATTTTCTTTTTATCTCCATTTTTCGGGGGACCCCTTTAATCCATCACCGGATATGATATGTCCTCCACATTTGATGTCAGCAACATATTATGCTATTATGTATCAACAAAACACTTTTGGGTCTGAGTGCTAGATCAAGGACCCTATGGGTAAGGGACACTTCAGAACCGCCGCAAAAGTGCGATAGGCATTACACCATTGCCTACATTTTTATTTATTCTTTCTTTAGACTGCAGGCACTTTCAGTACTTGAGTACTGTTTTTCAAAGTGGTACAGTTACAAACAAACCATGAAGTAGAAAGAAGATAATACAAAAAAAAAATTAAAAGTAGATTCAATGTAAATCTTAAAAATTAATAGAATGTTGGAATGAAACTAAGGTAATTTCTTTAAAGTTAGTTTTTATTTCGTTTGGAAGTTCATTCCAACTTTTTGATGCACGATATAAGAAAGTCGTTTTACCTTGGCAGATATTCTAAGGTGGTACAATTAAATTATTATGGGTTTGGCTATGTGTGCATTTTGAATGTATATTGTGATTAAAATTAAATTTGGATGTTAGTTATGGAGGGGCATGCCCTTTTATTACCTTAGTCTTCATTAGCTTGTTATCACTACTATTACAATCATTAATTTGATCATTATTTACATTTTTTTATAAACAAAATCATAAGTAATATCATTGAATATCAATATTGTCATCATCATCAATATCATCATAACCCTCATAATTGATAATGATATTAAATGATAACATTGATGATGATGATGATGTCATTATCATAATCAATTGTATCATCATTATCATCAGTGTTATTGTTAATATCATCAATTCTGTCATCAGCAGTATCATGATAAGCATCATTATCATAATCAATACCATCATAATCAATATCATCATCAGCATAATCATTATCACACTGATCATGAATATTATCATTATCGGCATTACTGGTAGTCTTTACTTTCTATACTCCAATTGCTTTGTAGTATCTGCACATTTGACCTATTTATGCTACATGATAGAAACTGGAGCAAACAATACGGCACATTTATAAATTATGTATGATATAAACTTAATAACATATATTCATATTTCAGAGAAGTCTTCCAACTGAAACCATTGTTATGTTACAATAGTGCGAATGCTATCACATTTTCTGTAAGAAATACATCTAATTTCCCATCATAATAAGCAAATCACAAATATTCAACACTTAAAACTAAATGCCAGGGATGGAGATTCCATATATTAGTGAGAAAGGGTGGAGGGGAGAGATAGCTTGAATTGAATTTAACATTTTTAAAGTGTATGATTATGTTTCTGTGAATTTAATTGAGATCTGAAATGACAACTCATATTTTAGTAGGGGACGGGGGTAATCCTACCCCTAACCTTTGAATGTCCGCCAATATTGGGCAGATAGTAACTAGGAAAATGTGATGCAAGGGAAAAGAAAATAAGTATACTATATGTTAGTTTTTTTTTTAATGTCATTATTCATAAATTATATTTCAAACTCATGGTAATATAGGTTAAGACACATCAAAAATTCAAGGTCATTTAAATT